TTTATTCATGCCATAGCTTTCACTATGGGAAACCCCATCTAACAGAGTCTAAAGGAATAGACTAGAAAAACAAAAGTGTGGGATTAAAAGCAAAGAAAAAGTACAAGGAAGAAAGGTGTTCTCTCCCAGCCAACAACTCTAGTCTTGTGTGTATTAGAGAAGAAAAGGGTTCAATTGTTAGAAGCGCAAATGAGCTTTGCCAGAGGAGGAGGGGAAGAGCAGACGAACAGGAAACAATGAAGACATATTCCAGCATTGCAGAGAAAGATGCAACAGAAAGAAAGGCTCCTCAGGCCTGAAATATTCAAAAGTCGAGGAAAACAAAATCATGCATGAGTTAATAGTTGTTGAAACTCTGTAATGTGTAGATGAGGGATTCATTATACTAATCTGTCTACTTTTGTATATGTTTGAAATTTTCTAGTAAAAAATGAGTTTAAGAAAAAAAAGAAGAAAAGCAGAAAGACAGTGCCCTGAGAAGCACTTGGCAGAGGTACTGGGAGTCACCAAGCTCCCAGGGATGCAATCTTCAGAAGCAATGAGAACAGCTCCAGTTCCTCAAAGTGCTAGGGGCAATGCTCCAGCTGAACAAACGTGGGCATGAAGGAGAGACCTTCCGCAGAGGCTGGGGTTACAGAACGAGATAATACTCCAGCAGCAGGCAGTGGAGTAGCCAGTGTGGCTCGCAGGAGACAGTGGATGCCGTGTCCACCCTACAGAGGCCACCTTGGTGCTGGTCCAGAGTGCTGGAAACTGGGTCTCACAGGGAAGCTGAAAAACAAGAAGTTTGGAATGATGATTAAAACAACAACGACAAAACGCACCTCACGGAAGATCTGGTGACTGGGACTGGCTCCATCGAAAATCTCTAAACTTTGCAAAGATTCAGCAATGTCTCAAAGGCTACTTACTCTCTGCGAGGAGAGACAGTGCCCATAGAGGAATGATCCTCACCCCATACACAGTCATTGCAGAGTGTCACTAGGAGAGATTTCCTGTGTATGAGTTGACAGGTCATGGATTCTGCAGGACAGAGTCTAACCACCTCTGAAGAAACTGAAACTGTTTCTTCCCTCAGATTGCCATTAGTACTTGGCACTGGCTGGGAATTAATTTATTTCCTGAATATGGTGGGTATGAGGTCCCTACTGTCATGAACTTGCCTATCCTTGAGTTCTTTTCAAAGGAAAGCAATTTAGGGACATGGTGTTGAACTAGTACAGCTTCAGAGGTTCTGAAGGAACTCCGTCCACTCCAGAGAGATACAGCCCAGCCTGGCCAGCAGCTGCTGGAAGAATTTTAGCTGCCCACCCTACAAACAAGAACCCGTTAGTTGAGAGGAGAATAAGAAATTGGGTTTTTGTTGTTAGTTGTTAGTGCCGTCAAGTCAACTGCAACTCCTAGTGACCCCGTATACAGCAGAGCAGAACTTTGCCTGGTCTTTTCATACCACCCTCTCACCTTCCAGGGCTATACCAGACAAGGCTCCACAGCTATTTATAAGGTTTTCATGGTCAATTTTTGGGGAAGTGGGTGGCCAGGTCCTTCCTAGTCTGTTTAGTCTGGAAGCTCCCCTGAAACCTGTCCACCATGGGTGACACTGCTGGTATTTGAAATACCCGTGGCATAGCTTTCAATATCACAGCAACACAGCCACCACAGTATGACAAATGACAGGCAAGTGGTCTGGTTCCTTGACCCAGAAATGAACCCAGGCTGTAGCAGTGAGGGTGCTGAATCTTAACCACTAGACCACCAGGGCTGGCTAAGAAATTGGGTAACGGATGAATTTGGAACTTAGATTGCTTTGAACCCACCAGAACAAGATAATTTGATTTTGTTCTTAATTTCTTCGGACTTGAATGTTTGGGGTCTTTAACTTGCAAGAGGCATTAATTTGAGGGATTTAGTTCTCCCAGGACAATTGACAATAAGAGAGATTTTCATATTCAAATTTGGGACTCTTCTGTTGTATTGGCATTTTATTATTAATGTGTATTTATGCATTTAATGTTGGACCATTTTAATATTCCATTTTGATCCTGAGGAAAATCTGTAATTGCCTATATTTTACATATGGCTGGAAATAATTTGGAATGGAAATAGTCACCTTAGGTACAATGTGGCATGGAAGTACATTTAAATGATGCTCTCTTCTGACCTATTGCAGAGCTTTGGGTTTTTTTTTCTTTGAGGAAGATTAGCCCTGAGCTAACATCTGCCACTAATCCTCCTCTTTTTCTGAGGAAGACTGGCCCTGAGGCTAACATCAGTACCCATCTTCCTCCACTTTATATGTGGGAGGCCGGCCCATAGCATGGCTTGACAAGCAGTGTGTAGGTGCATAGGTCCACACCTGCGATCAGAACCAGTGAACCCTGGGCCGCTGAAGCAGAACTTGCGAACTTAACCTCTGCACCCCCATTTCAGAGCTTTCTGGGACAAAGTCTACACTGCTTCCTAGAGGTCCTTCAAAGGAAGAGAGTGGCTTCACACAGTAGGAGAAGGATTGCCATGACTTACATCCATCTCCTCCCCCAGGAGGAAAGCCACACCGCTAGCTGAGCAAGCATTTGATGGGTAAATCCTGTGGGTAAAGAGAATTAAAACCTGGGGATCCTTGGAGGGAAAAGCCCATTCCCCACATCGCCTTTCCATTTGAAAACGTTTCCCCAAACACCCCAGGCCTCTCCCTCCTCCTCCCATGGAGATGGAATGAGATACCTGTTCAGTAATACCTGGTCAGTAGCAACAGCTCCTGTTCCACAATTCTTGATCATGTGGAGCTAATCTACCAAAGATCCCGCACACAGGGAATTTTCTCTTTCTCCTTCTTTCTCCACTTGCTTCAGTGGAAGCTGGGGGCTTGGTTAATGGTGTTTGCTCTGCAGATTCAAACTTTCCTTTGGATAGTTTTTCCAAGATCTGGATGGGAAATCAGAAATACTGTTTGGCTACCACCCCAAGCTATATCCATTAACATAGCCTTTATCACTAATACAGGTCACGGTTTGTTACTCAATCTTTCATTTCTCTACTGATTAAAATCTCAGGCAAAGATGGGCATGATGCAGGGAACCCCAGGGTTGTTTGAGAAATGTAGAAAATGACTCATGTAAAGCTCTTATCCTGTTGCCTTGGCATATTAAAAGTGCTTAAAAACTCTGACAACTCTTGCCCTTGATCTTCTGTGCAGAAGCAGTCCATGGTCATGATCCTATACCTGTTGTATGTACTTTCATATGTTACCACTTCTTGCTTTGTTTTCTAGTTATCTGTGTTTGTATTGGTAGGGATTCTAAATGTCTGAAGGCCAGGGATCATGTCTTAGTCATCTTTGTGTTATCTGAAGCATCTAGGATCAAGCCTTCATGAAGAGGGTGCTCAATGAATAATTACTTTAAAACTAGACAAACAAAGGGCAATTCAATATTTACCATTGACTCTTAAACCTAGATTTTCACATTTAAATAACCCCACAAGGTGAGTCAGTAATTCTCTTGATTCCAGGTAAAGGTTCTTCTCTGACAAATTTCTGAAGTAGAAAATGTCCTGTTTAACATATGGGTCACCCAGTCACTGAAACTAAAACCAAATCCCAATGGAACTGACATAATTCTTTCCCTCAGAGAAGCTTAAAGCACTTTGCCATCAACACAATATCCAGGCTCACAGCAGTCCTGGGAACAAATGCGATCCTTCACAGCCACCTAAACACTCCATATGCAATGCATTTCCCCCTTTGAGATCTTTCCTTTAGTGCTGGAAACCATGTAGATGCTTAAGAAATGTTATTATGAAAAACAATAATATTTATTCAAGGTCCCACAGTGATGCTAAGAAACTGAGCCCAGCTAAGGATCATATCAGAATCTGCAGTCTCCCTCAGCAAAGCAGGAGAGCTTTGTGACTACACAGTCACTGCGCCAGCCAGCCAGCAGGGTTTTCCAAGTGTTGCCCAGACAGGCAACCCGAAGGAAAGAATACCACAAACTGAAGGACTAAAACAAATACTGAGGAAAATATGGTTCATGGCCTCGAGTTGCCTTCTATCAAAGGGAAACAGAAAATCTTCCAAAAATAACAATATATGCTATCAAATATGTCCAGGTGCATAACGCCTCTCGGCTGTATATAGCTATAAAACTACACAGTAAAGAGAGTTCTCAGGACCAGAAAATATGTACTGGATCTTCATTTTGTTCGTACTTAAATTAGTGTGGTTGCGAGCTTTTTAATAACGCATTTGTGGCCTCACCATTTACAGCTGTGTGATCTGGGGTTTCATCTTTTTTTAGCCTCATCATTACTATCTATAAAATGGGGATAAAAACAGTACTAATTTAATATAATCATTGTGAGCATTAAATGAAACACTTCATATAAAATACTCAGCACAGGACCTGTCACATAGGAAGCTCTCAAAATTACTGTTATTATATTTATCTTCTTTTTTGCATGTGTCATAAATCTGAATTTGTGTAACAGTTTATTTCAATTTTTGCATTCTGATTATAAAAGTATTATCTGTTAATTGTAGAAATTTTAATAAATACAGAATAATATGATTGGGAAAATAAATCTTACTCATAATTCTACCATTCACAGATTTAAAAATATTAGCTTTGCAATAAATTTCCAATTTCTAAGGGTGAGGGCCACATTGTTTTCTTTGTGCAAAGTACTTGGAACATAGCAGCTGCCCACTGAGTGGATACTGGAAGATGTCATAGTCAGAAACAAGTGTATAACAAGATAGCTGTATTTATATATAAGTAAAAGGAAACATTCCTAAAGGATGATCTCTGGGCTCCTTTCAAAGTAACAAAATCACCCAGAATCAATGGAAGAACAAGATAAAAATACAGATTCCTTAGGTTACATGCAGGGCTCCCCATAAGCCATACTACCTGAATGTTCATAGTATAATGCTATACTTGGTTGCTCTGTCTAAACTGTATGAATTTGATGTCCTCTGTGTAGTGATTCTTACTTTTCTTTTTTCCAAAAATTTCACCAAGGTAAAGCAGAGCTCTGGTTGATGCCTGTGTGTCGTTCAGGCCTTAGCAGTATTGCCCTCACTACATGCTCATTGGACAGTAGCGCAACGCCAAGAAAAGGATGGTTGTGTGATGATTCTCCTATGTCCTATTCTTTTCCTTTTACTCAAAATCTTTCACACAGGTAGTCTGAAAACTACATGAAAGCAGGCATTTGTACCTTCTCTTTCTTTTAGATTTTCTATTATCTTCTAGGTCCAGACTTTGTACCTCATGGTCACACCCTAAATTTCATGGACTGATAAACTGAGTCAGCACCCATTCCAGATCACTGACTTATCCCAACCAGGTTGGGGCAATTAAGGAAAGCAAAACTTTTTTTTTGGTTCAACTTCACTTCCATTTAATTCCATCTAAAAAATATATAGGGGACAGCCCAGGTGGCCTTTAGTTGTTCCTACTTAGTCTCTTGCATCATATCAAAGGCATCTATTGAGAAACTGAGCTGCTGAATGAATGCCTCAGATTGGGTCCACAAAACCCCAGTTCACTAATCCTGGGTGGCTATTGTGTGGCAACCTTTTTCATGATCATGGTGGTATTAAGAAACAATATGAGGGCCAGCCCCATGGTGTAGTGGTTAAGGCTCTGTGTCCTCCGCTTTGGTGGCCCGAGTTCATGGGTTTGGATCCCAGGCACGGACCTACACTATTCATTGGCCAAGCTATGGTGGCGTTGGGAGGAAGACTGGCAACAGATCTTAGCTCAGGGATAATCTCCTACAGCAAAAAAAAAAAAGAAAGAAAAGAAAAGAAAAAGAAAGAAAGAATGTGGCCTTTGGAGCCACACTACTTGATTCAAATCCAAGATCCACTGTCTACACCCCAGTGAACCACTGTATTGAACCCTTCTAAGCCTATTTCCTCAGTGGCTGGCACATGGCAAGCATTAAGTAAATGTAAATTACCATTATTAGTAGTAGTAGAAATAGTAATCAAATCAATGCTAGTGGTTGGTGGCCTACCAATATCCCAGACAAATATCAGCACTACTATGAATCAAAGGTTATGTGGATATAATTTGAAGCTCTACACAGTACATATCTAATGATTCATTCATTTGGTCATTGACAAATTTTTTTAAATACTGATGATATTCAGATCACCACGTTAAGAACTATAAGGAATTGAGAGATGAAAAAAACGTACATCTTGCCTTAATAGTTCTATCATGCAGTAATAGAAGGCTCAAAAACTTAAAATCCCAGATTGCATTAGGAGGTGTCTTTTTGAAATGAATCGTGTTATTAGTTCCATATGACAAGATGTATAAAACATAATCTAAGATTAAAGTAATCAGGAAAATGGGCATCCTTCCACCTCTGCAGATAGTGGTCAATTCTCAACCTATTAGTGTCATAAAGTTGCTCTCACAAAACAGAATGCGTGTAGTGTTAAAAGCATACATCTGCTGCTATAAAAGAGACATTATCAACATCATTATTAAGTGCATTAAGAAGAGACAGACTCAGCACTGCCACATCAAAGAGGGGTTTTAACATTTTTTTCCTCAGTAGGAGGAGAAGAGAAACTAGAAACATTTGGCCATGCTGTATATATTTAGATAGGAAATATAGGGCCAAAGACACACAAACACATGCTGAGGGCCTTATAAAAACATTGGGCTCTGATCTCTCAGTGGGCTTCGAAGTCAGATTGACATGGTTTCAGATTCCAGTTTTATCACTCACAAGCTCCTTGAACTAGTAAAAATTCCTAAAATTCTCTGAGCTTCAGTTTTTTCATCTGTACAATGCAAGAGATGTTGTGAAGATTGCCTGAGACCAGGTGTGTGTATGTGAAGTGCATAAAGTAGTACATAGCACGTCATAGCGTTTGATAAAAAGTAGATGTTATAATGATTATTTTATCACTAACAGTCGTGTTCAAGCATTGACTCCAGAATTACTGCCCACTCTATTTACAGCACACTTCTGTCAGAGCAGACATGCTTGAAGGCTTCCTCTTGGGCAAAAGCACAGCAGTGTTGCCAAGGTGGCCTGTACTTGAGTCCCTTTCGCTGCCTGTGATGACATCCTGGTCTCCTCAGGTTGTGATTTGACTTCACTTCTGGACCTCAAGTGTCCCTTTCTCCATCCTGTGAACACTCCTCTTCTACCTGCTTGCAAATCAACTTCCAAGATTCCTAACTAACCCTGAGGTCTGAACTTTTATCCTTGGTAATGACCCAGTTCCGATCTGGACTCCCTCTCTGTCCCATCCTCTCTACCTTGTGTCTCAGGAGAAATGGCTGTGGAAGATTCTGGCGGGATCGATGTTTATGTCAGGCTGTAAAGCTTTACAGCTTGACAAGCCAGGTTCCCGTGCTGTTGAATACATCTTGACTGCAAGTTTATATCTGAATTTAGACCCTCTAAAGCAGTTGTATGCCCACATTAAAATCCTCCTGCTTCATGTCTCTGCACTTAAGACCCTACAACACAAAGCGGAAGGAAGTGATGAGGGAGAAACAAGGCCTAATTGGCAATTCCTGCTTAGACCAATAGACTCACACTGTTTGCCTTGGAAGTGAAGTGGCCTGAATGCTTTCTCCACTGTTTGCATGAACCTATGAAGCATCTAATGCATCCAATTACATGCCATAGTAAGGTCTAATGGATATTAAAATTACACGGGTCAGGGTTCAAACACAAGTGTGGTTCTCTCGGCTTGCCTTAAATCAAGTATTTACTTTGAGACCAAAAGTGCAAATTGTGGGCTGTTGAATCAGCTGGAGTTCTCAAAATAGAATTTGACCTGAATAGAGATAATTCCATGAAAACACTACTGGAAACCAAAATGCTTATCTAATCTGTATGTCTGGCAACATGTACAGCATTACTGATCACTGGTACTGGTGAAAGAGTCTTAATTTTTATGTCTAGAGGAAATTAAGCCAAGATAAAGAGTACCATTTAGTTCAGAGGAAAGATGTTCATACATGTTATATTTTAAATGATTCCGCTTGAGCACTTGGAAAATTAAAGGGCCTTTAGCCAAAAACAGCTCCATGTCATTTGGCTATGTGGAGCTTAACTAAAGCTTGGCCTTATCTAACTTCTCAGAAATACACTAACCAGAGGCTCTGTATAAGAGTTCCAGAACTAGCGTATGCCTGCAGGGGATTAGAGAGACCAAAGGGAAGAAAAGCAATTTACTCCTAACGCAAAGTATAATGGTTATAGATACCAAGTATGAGAAGGGGCATTCCAGATTGTCAAAAAAGCTTCAGGCTTACCATCACTAAAAGACCATTCCCAGGATGGGCAGGAAAGAGCTTTGGTAATTCCTAATCATAGTGAGACATGGAATTCCTCTTGGGACCTTTAAAAGCCCACCTTTCATAACAGTTAAAAGCATACGGTTCCAATGAGGAGGAAAACAGTTATTATTTTTCAGAAAACTATGAATATTCTTAGCCTTATTAACAGACTACCCAAATCTAATATTTTTAGGGTGGACTTTTTAAACAGGCAACTAGCTAGGAAGTACAACTTCAAGAGTACCTAGAAGGCTTTTCCATGATCTTCATCTTACCTTTGTATACTCATGCTGGATGAAGAATGTGTGTGTGTGTGTGTGTGTGTGTGTGTGTGTGTGCGCATTCTCCATACAGTGGCTCAATGCCTAAAATTACATCACACTTGAACTTGGTTTCCTTTCTCTAAATCAAATAGGAAATTGGTCCCTAAAAGTGGTCCCACATTGACCTTTATCAGTCATTTACACCTCAATGGGAAGGACATCATTAGCTGCTTTTGAAAGAACTAGTGTGAATCGTTGGAAGGGGAAGCTGGAATTTAGGGCCATTGGTCACCTAAGTTCAAATGTTTAACTATGCACTGGGGAAAGATAGGGACATAAAAAGGAGAGGCAATGGATTGAAAACCAACATGGCCTTCTGAACAATGCCAGAAAAGGTCAGCCCTAGACATAGTAGTTAAAGTTTAGAGAACAAAAAAACTCAGAATTCAGAAAAAGCTGCAAATCTCTAAACTACAAAGAAAATGTGAGCAACTCTCAACTCAGTCTGTCAGAGTTTGTTTTTCCTATTGAGACGACATTTACAGTTTTATTATATAGTATATATCATTACATAGATTTGGGTTCCAGTGTCTTCTGCAGTCACCACGTTATAAAATAAATACATATGTAAATATATATGTATGTCTATGTGTGTGTATGTACATGTATCTATATGTATATATGTGTGTGTGTGTATATACATATATAGGGAGAGAGACATATCTAAACATGTACAGTCAATCCTCATTATTCACAGAATCAGTATTTGCTAATTTACCTACTCACTAAAATTTATTCATAATCCCAAAATCAATACTCATGGCTCTTTCATTGTCATTTGTGGACATGTGCAAGGTAGCAAAAATTTGAGTCACTTGACACACATTTTCCCAAATGACATCAGACAAGGCAATGCTCTACCTTCTTGTTTCAGTTCTCATATTGTCATACTGCTAACAAGCGTCCTTTTTGCTATCTATTTAGTGCCACATTTTTTTAATTTTCATGCTTTTTGTTGGTGATTTCACTGTTTAAAATGCCCCCAAGCAGAGTGCTTGAGTCCTGTCTGTTGCTCCTAAACACGAGAAGGATGTGATGTGCCTTACGGAGAAAATATGTGTGTTAGATAAGCTTTGCTCAGGCATGAGTTTTAGTCCTGTTAGCTGGGGGTTCAATGTTAATGGATCAACAATACATATTAAATAAGATGTCTTTAAAAAGAAACACACATAAAACAAACTTCAGTTGCTGAAAATGCTGTGACCAGAGGCTCACAGGAACCTAACCATGTATTTCCCCTAGGAGCTGTGGCTCTATATTCATTAATTCAGTGTTCATAGAGAATTTAAAGAACATAACTACTGCAAATGATGAGATTTGACTGAATATATATTTTTATTTGGAAATAGTTTAAGATTTAGAAAAAGTTGCAAAAATAGTAGAGTTTTTGTGTATGCTTCATTCAGCTGTCCCAAATGAAATATCTTATTTTCAAAACCAGGAAATTAATGTTGGTATAACACTGTTAACTCAAGTGCAAAT